TCGTCACCTCCCCGTATACACCTAATACGTGTATATGAGCCGGGTATGTATGGTAGAAAGTGCACTATGACGCGTACGCGGTGCACTCGGAGAGAAATGGCGTATGGCGCGTTTCTCCCGTGGCTATGTGTTTTACCAAATAGAAGAGCCCGAGCTATGGGGGAGCGAACGAGGGAAAAGAGAGGAGCGAGCACATATATGTATATATACTTTTGAGAACCGGGCGGCTCCTCCGAGGCAAATTAGACGAGTCTCGTGGAAAGTTTGCGGTGGTGGCTGGTCGTCTCGTGTTTATTTGGCGAGCTCCGATGGATCGCCTCGCGCGAGTGGACATTTTTTTTCAACGGAGGCGAGGGTATATTGCACGAAGACGTGGGCCCCCCGAGGCCAGAGTTAACACGCTCCACAGGGACAACGAAGCCGGCACTCATTAAGTCGACTCTCCTCTATAGCTTTGATCGATTGATCGATCCATTGTTTTTTTTTTTCCAACAACTGTGTGTAGTACAACTATCATCAACATTTTTGGCACTTTATTTTCATACATTGATCTAGAAGGTGTATATTAATTACGAGGGACAAAGCGCTACTATGTACCTTAAAATCAATCAAGTGGCTCGACTAAATGTATACCCTCGTTCGTTTCAAGTAAAGCACAAGGCTTTTATAAACGCACAGTTGTCCCGACAAAGCTTCCACGGGACATATTGAACTTTTCATACAATTTGTAAAAAAAAAAAAACATCAGCAGTTATTATGAATTGTTGTTTTTTTCGTGCTTTTTGAAATCGATTGTGCATTAATCATAACAAATGTAAGGACATGCTTAAACAATTTCCGATAAACGTATCATGATAATCGTGACGTATAATCGACAGTCCCCTCAAGCTTACGCGGAGAGGTAAGATAATCCGATGGATCATCACGCCCGATTATTATTATTGTTGATAATAATGCCAATACTTCAAGTTTTGCCGATGCAGCGGAAAAAGTAAAATTTCTTATTGGCGAGGACCCTTGACACGGAAAATTTTAAATAGCACCGCCGATCGAATAATACGTATAGCTCATCTGCACGTGTGTCCCGGTTAATGCAATCGCGTTGGTGAGAGGAGGAAGGAAAAGTATCTGCATACGCCAAAACCAAAGCAATTGACTCGAATTCCACGTCTGAAAAAAGCTCTTGTGCCCCCCCCCCCTTGTGGAGCTTCCATCGTGTAGCGATGAGACACGACGCCCGAGTATATATATATAGGTACAGGTAAGTAGCACCGCAGAGATGCTCCACTGCAGTTGTACCAAACTCGAGAACGAGGGGGTAGAAGGGCTTAAGCTGTTAATACTTCGCTAACGAGGAAGGCCGTGTCCGCTTTCGCTGGAGAGGGGCGGGGGCCCGGAGCTTTTGCTCCCCGGCGCACGTAGTCACTCGCGAAACACGAGAGGACACGACGACAACGACCCTCTTCGTGCTGCACAACACAGAGAGAGAGAGAGAGAGAGAGAGAGAGAGAGAGAGAGCACATAACTATATACGTACAGGTACGCGCGAAGCGAATAAGGGCCGGGGAAAGAGGAGCGAGAGAAAGAGAAATGATAGATGAGCCTGGGCCAAACTAGGCGGCGGATGAGAGGATATGGAAGTAGAAGAGGGGGAGGGAGGGAGTGGCTTTTTGCTGAAATAATCTCGCTCGGGAGTTTTAGCGGTCGTATACGCGCGCGCTTTTGCTCAAAATGTGATAATGGCTCGGGGAGCCTCCCCTGCTCCCAGTAGCTACTTCATCGCGTTGTCTCCCCTGCACCGTATATAGACGCTCTTTTGCGTGATTAATACATCAGAACGCGGTCCGTATGGCTTTTCCGTACCCCCACGTATATTGTAGTTACCGTGTATACACATGGTATACGCAGCTCCGGCTGCTCATGTTATAATAGTTATAACGTAGGTATTCCACTTTTAAAATCCAAGTGATAAAGGGGGGTGGGGCGAAAAGTTTGATGCACTGCTCGTTTGTCATAATGTACGTATACCCAGTCACTCAGCTGCTGATTCGCCCCGAGAACTCTCATATCCCTTTCTCGTATGTTAACCGGGTGTACGACTGAGGAGTTCTTTGGGACTTTGATGGGTGTTCGCGAGCTCCGCTGCGCGCAAACGCTCATCCTTCGTTGCGTCTGAATAATTCACCTCGGGATTCCTATCTCGCGGTGACTCGAGAGATACACTCGCCGCGGGTTTTGTTACTGGGAAGGGAGGGGGTGAGGAAAAATTTCACGGTTCGCGTATATGCAGTGTAATCTGGTAATGCGCTTTTTGATATCTTGGAACTCGTTTGGGACGAATACTAAAGTAGTTTAATTACTGAATATGTCATAGTTTCTTCGCGGTGCCCTGCAAATGATTAATCGATGCGACACGAGGGCAGAGATACCTTAGTTATACATCGACTCAAGATTTCGTTAGGTGACAGCTGCGGTTACCGATTTATTTTAGTCAGTTAAATAATAGACCGCTACTTCGAGTTTAACGATCGCGTACTTAAAGATTCAGTTGACAAGTGAGGCACGTAATATTTGACGAGGAGTTTGATGAAATCAAATTGAGATGGTTAACCTGATTTTGAGCGGATAACCGAGATGCAAGCGAGATAACTCTACAACAGCAGTGAAATACATTATCTAGCTGGCCAAAGTCGATGCGCAGTAGCTTTTCCGGAGATATTAACCAAGTATGACTTGGCTTTAATGCTCATCGTGAGCTGTACAACTCTCGGTGTCATCAGAAAAGTGCCTTTTTCAAGCCTGCTCGCGTGAGGTAGTCCCCTCACCGTTGTCTGACTATAACGCGATGTTACTACTGGCTCTTCCGACGCCGCTCAGCGAGAAAACGAGGGATGGATGGACTACGGGTCATATATTGACTCGTAAACAATATGTTAAGATAATACAGTGCACAAGCAAATATTGAGCATCTGTCTGTGGTGGCGCTCCGTATCAGTATACGTGAGCTCGCCTTTTTTTTGTCGCTACTATCGTCAGTATTGTATATACCCTGCAACACCAATTTTGTCAGAGGCAGGGTCTAGACGCATCCTCATGTTAAATATCCCTCGATATTCGAATACAATCGAATCTTTCTCCCACTGGAGCATAGACAGGAGCTGTAAACATAGGTTTCGAGGCAATATATCGAAATCGGCAAAACCGAGGGAGTATTAGGAAGCGAAGCCTTGGCTCGGTGTGTCAGGGGAGGTTGGAGTCTTGAGCTCCTCCTGCTCCTCTATTATTCCTTTATTCGCGTGTGTATACGCAACTTTCGCCGCATAAATGTTTGAGGATTTGCTGCAGGCTTTTCCAAGTGTTAGGCCTATACAGCCCCCTTTCCCTTCTCCCGGCTGCTACCTAAGCCTTCAGCGTGTATGTACGCACACACGTGCGAGCACTCAGAAACCACAGAGCTTATTCGTGTATCCTTGTGTACCACGTCCACCGCGGCAAAGTGCAAAGCTCCTAGCTGTACGTACAACGTATGTATTTATTATTATTATAACGGAAGTTTTTTTGAATCTACAGACGCGCGGGTTTTGTGGTTCACGTAGTTGTCGCCGTTGTTGCTATTGTGTTTTATATCACCAGTGGCGATGTTATTATTGTTACTTCGATTGTTTTTAATTTCGAATTCAAGAAAATTAATTAATTCAAGATTTTAAGTAATGAAGTTTGGTGTTTTACTTTTATGTTGTACAGCTTGAATAAATAAATATATCCTATAACGTTGTTACTCGGTTCTGGTGGAAGCCAAGCCGCGGAGTCTTGAGTAAAATCAATAACTTTTTCCTGTCAGCAAAAAAACTGACAATATTCTTTTAATGTAATGTTTCTTACTAACATTTTCGTTAACTTTTCTTTAATTACTTTAATTGCTTTATCTCACGTGCATGTAACGTTACAAATGAGCTCAACTTGACCTGTAGGTATTAATATCTTAAACCACACTCTAAAATAGCGCGAAAGTAGAGTTGAGAATCCAAATACAGCGAGTCGAAATAAAGATGCATCCATCGACGCGCTAGTCAAATTTTATCTGAAAGTGTAAACAAAGTTGATGGCAAAGGTGCATATATATATAGTCTTTATGTTCACCCGCAAGGAAAATATTTTTTACAGAGCACTTCTCCTTTCGACTCATAAAACGCGTTAAGAGGCGCGATCTATACGCGAGTCTGTTTATGCTTCAACAGTCAAGCACAACAGCATACCGCAAAATTCCGGTATGCTGTCTCTCCAAATTCTCGGAGAAGTTTGCATTTCTCGCATATAAAAAACACGGATGTAAATACCAAAATTTCCACGATTCGTGCGGAATGGCTCTTTTTAAACCAAGAATTTGCCCCGAGAAATTTCAGACTCTGGTCATTAAAAATGCAGGTAGTTGCTTTTCCCATCTAAAATTCAATTGATCAGATAGGCCAATCGTATAATCCACTGACTGATGTATTTTTTAGAAAAAAAAAAAAAAAAAAAAAAAAAAAAAAACCAATATCCCTCTCCGCAGTCCCATATCGTGACAAGATCGGAGCGAGCGAGTACAGGAGCACCAAGCAAGCCAACTTCAGACGGCACTAGTAAAACTAAATTTTGACGTCCATCATGTAGGTGTACCCAGTAGATACTGTATAGCTTTGTGCACATGTATTCGGGAGACCGTATATAGAAGCACCGGTACGCAGTGCTCAAAGTCACCGAGAAGCCACAGACAACAACAACAACAACAACAACAACAGCCGGGGTTTACCCGCAAGCAAATTACAAAGTTCGGAGCCACACGCGTGTGCAGCCATACGCAAAAGTCCACGGCACATACCTGCATCCTCCCAAAGTTTCTTACTGGCTCCATACGTACACGGTCAAACGCAGCGCGCTCTGATGACGACAACTGCCGTCCCCCGGCCTTTCGAGCGCTACTCCTCGTAACCTGTGCACAACACCCTCCCGCACGCGAAATGGACTCCCTCGACAGCGAATCCTGTTTTTGCAATGACGACGACGAGGAGGAGGAGGAGGAGGAGGAGGAGGAGGGTGGAAACGACGGTGCGTCCTGCGGTCGATCGACCTGCTGCTGCTGTCGGTACGACCCGTTCGAGGACGACTCGCCCGAGTCGAAGATAAAGGACCTGCCGTTCGCCCTGAAGAAACTAGCGGTGATGAGGTGCCAGATGAAAAAGTGGCGGCTCGAGAGGCTCGAGCTCGAGAGCCAGGCCAGATCGCTCACGAAGGCCCTGCAATGTCACGGTGGGTCATTCCGACCATTTTGAGGTTATTTTAAAGGCTGCATTTAAAATGTACGCGCGGTGGTGCACGAAAAAAAAAAAGCTCTTCTTTCCACGCGATTGGAAAAGCTCGGCAGAGAGAGGTAAACCGTTGGGCCTGTGTATAGGCGTGGAGGCCAAAAGCGTGCTCAAGCCAGACCCGGTGGTGGTGCACCTGCGCTGTGAGAACGCGAGACTGGAGCGTCGCACGGCCGAGCTCGAGGACGAGGTGAGAGACCTGAGCGAGACCCTGGCCGACCGGGAGTGCTGCGAGGACAACTCCTGCGACGCGGTGGCCTACCTGAAGGAGAGGACGCTGGCCGTGAGGCACCGTTGCGCCGTCGAGAAGAGACAGTGAGGGAGCACCCAAGACCAACCACTCCCCCCTCCCTCCCCCCTGTGCATCGGCATGATTTTTCCTTGCGTTTCCGGTGCAGCATGCGCGACGCGATAGCTAAGCTACAGCTGAGACTCCAGGCGGCCACGGACGACGGGTCGTGCGCGGCGTTGAATCGGCTACGGGCCAAGCTGGGGGAGCTCATGGGCGGGGACTGTCCCGAGCGGGTGGCCTCCGTTGCCCTCGAGAAGTCGATAGAGACCCTGGGCGAGGTGTGCGGGAGCTGCGACCAGCTGAGCCGGGAAAACGAGCGGCTGCTCGCCGAGGTCGAGAGCCTCAAGTGAGTGCGCGAGTGGGGTATGGGTACGTGGGGGAGCTCGAGATTCACAGGGTCCCCCTCGGTTGGATCGGGCAGGTGCGAGATCAGGGAGGAGCCGAAGTTAACTGGCGAGGGGGAGTCGGCGGAGCTGGCCGACCTGTCGAGGCGGATCAGGGCTTGCGAGTCGATGGCCAGCCAAATGCGGCTCCAGCTGGCCGAGCGCGATGACGAGATAAACGAGCTGAAGAAGAAGCTGTTCGCCGAGAGGCAGCGCACGAGCAAACTGGAGCACGAGCTCGAGGAGGTATGTCTTTGCCGGAGGAGCCTCGAAGCTCAGGTCGAGAACACCACCGCCGAGCTGGGGGAGAAGAACGAAAAGGTACACAACACATGTGCACTTCGAGGCCTGGACTGCATTGTATACTGGTTGTGTGGGACAGATAACCAAGTTGTTGCGCGAGCTGCGGTGCTCCACGGAGCTGGTGATGGGGGCTGGGGAGTTGGAGTGCGAGCTGGAGCGTTCGAGGCTCGAGTGCGCCGATCTCAGGGAGGAGAGCGGGAGGTTGTGCGAGGAGGTGGCCAAGTTGAGGGCGGCGAGCAAGTCCCTCGAGGCGGATAACGAGAGGTTGTCGAGCTGCCTCGGGGAGCTCAGGAGCAAGCTCGAGTGCGTGGAGTCGGAGAGGAACAAGCTGCGGTGCGGTGAGGATGACGCTCGGATGGAGTGCGCCAAGTTGCAAGAGGAGAGGGTGACGCTGCTGAGGTCGAGGGACGAGCTGGTGGAACGGGTGAAAGCACTGGAGACGAGCTTGGAGAAGGCGCGTGGGGATCTGGGGAGGATGTGCAAGGCTTCCGAGGAGCTCAAGAAGCAGCTGGCCCTGGCGAAGAAGGAGAGCGATAAGCGCAAAGAGGAGGGCACGCGGTTAAGGTGAGGCACTTCTGATTTCATGAAACGAGTGTATACACACATTTTATTCGCATTGCGTATACGTGAGCTGTGAAATTGACGAGTTTGACGTTGATATCGACAAAAATTATTTTCTAGAGAGGAGCTTGACAAGTCGATAGAGGATTTGGATTCGGCGAATCGAGAGATAAAGAAGCTACAGGCAAATCTGTGCGCATTGTGTAATGTCAAGGGCAGGCTCGAGCGCGAGTTGGGTGATTACAAGTGGCAGTTGGACAAACTTAAAAAGGGAAACGAGGCTTGCTCCAACAGCGAGCAGTGCAGGTTTGAGTTTTCTCATTGATTATCTGTCAATGTATGAGAACAATCGTCATCAATATGCGTTTGAGTGAGTCATGCGTTTTAATGCCTTAATAGCATCTAAGCGGTATAAGTAGAGTAAACCTATGTATGGTCATCCAGTTCTGGTTTATCTAATTTTAAACACTTTTATTGGGTTTTCCATTTTACGAGGAAATAAACCTTGTTATAGAGAGCTTTTATTTTGAATTTGACATTTCAGTTGCAATACTGAAGAGCATTATTTTCTATTCAAATCAAAAAAGAAATGTTCGGTAGATGTAAGTAGAGTAAGTCCATATGTAGTCAGACAGACTGATATTTTTTTACATTTTGTAACGTTAGAATTGTACTTTGACAAGATTTTCCATTTTGAGTTATAATAAGCATCTAATTTATAGGAGTGGCGTAGGAACACGTGTAGCATCTTTTTTGTGATCTAGATCTCGCGTGCGTGGGTTACAGCGAGTACCGGATGGGACACTTACAACTTACTCGTCATCAAAGACGACGATAAAAAAAAAAAAAAAATGACAGTGCACAAACTGTTATCTGTTCTTTGTTACCAGTCAGTAAATTTTCAACTAAAATTTTTACATCATAATAAAGAATGATCTTATGTTCCGAGATAAGGTGTCAATCAGACTATTTTCCATAATATGTATGTTTCTACTTAATTTGGATGCGCTCTTATCTGGTTTAACATTGTACTTGAACTTTATCAAGATGTTCTATTACACGTTCCTTAGTCCAATTACAACGAATCAATTCCATTTGACATAATTATAATCTCTTGATGTATATTAGTAGAGTATGTCCATATGTGGTCAGACGATGTAACGTTTTTCATACGGCATTTAATTTTTTAAAAGCAGATCTTGAAAATAATATGTTACATTTTAACTAAAAATATAAAAATTTGGTTAAAGTTAGTATACGTTTTGTAAAAATTTCCTTTTTAACGTTCAAGGTTTTAATTGGCAACTTCTATTTATAATTTTTTCAAAGCGATAATAATTACTTAACAATATATACATCTATCAAGTCTAAACATAATCAGAAAAATTGATCTTTCTTTTTCAGCGTTAAAATATTTTTTTACTACGTATAGAAACAAGTGTTATAAAGTGTAAGTAGAGTAAGCCAATATTCGATCAGACAGGCTGATTTCTACTTCTCAGCATTTTATATTTTAATTGCGTACTTTAATGGGATTTTTCTATTTGATGTCAAAATAAGTATGTCATATACGAGCAGTGTAAGAATTTTTTTTTTTTTTTTTTTTTTTTTAGAGTTAAACACACATATTAATATTTAAAAGTTGAGCAAGTTTTTTTTATGTGGGATCAAGTAATCTTATTACTTTATTTTTCAAATAATTGGCTTATTAATTAGAATTTTTTCTACTTACTGATTTCCATATTCATGAAGTGAAAGTTACGTCTGACAAATGTAAGTAGAATAGGTCCGTATGTCGTCAGACATCTTCGTCTTTTTTTTCTTTTCTCATATCAATACTTAGACATAAATATTCTTTTTAAAAGAACGAAAATAAGTATTCAACAATCGTAAGAAGAGAGTATGCTAGGTAGCTAGACAGTTTCATCTTTCATCATATATCATTAGTATAGTATGACATTTTGATTGGATATACATTGAAAAAAAAAAAAAAGCATTAATCATATTTGTGTGAAAGTAAGTATATAACAATGAAACGAAGGAAAAAAATCCATCGGATGCGTTTGAAAAACATTAAAAAAATTATTAAACAACAGTTCGAAGTCGGAGAAGCCGAAAAAAGTAAAGTCGGAGTGCAGCAAGGCGAAAAGAGCACCGAACGAGCCGAGCCGGAAAAAGAGCGTCGACGCGTCTCGCCTGGCCAAGGAGCTCGAGGCGTGCAGGGCCGAAAACGCGGAGCTCAAAAGCAAGGCAGAAGCCCCCGAGCTCAAGGACGCCGGGAAAGAAAACAAATGCACCGAAAAAGTAACTCCCGGGGACGACCAGCTCGTGCAGGCCAGCAAAGCCCTCAAAGTCGAGATGGAGAAACAGATCGAAGGTGCGTCGGCCGAGTATTTTTTACCTCTTGGTAGGAACACTTTAGTCGCGTTAATCAAGCCCCACCGTTGACCGACTCGCTTAGCCGTGGCTCGAGTGCGGGGGCTCATAAATTATGCAGAGGGCAAGGCCGATGAGAAGCCAGGAGCGGCGGGGGACCTGTTTGCTGGGGGAAGCGACAGGAGGAAATGGTCGGTGGACGAGATAAACGATCTGTTCAAGACGTCGCAGCTCTTGTCGGGGGCGATAGTCAGGACCGAGGAGGAAGTCAGGGAGCTCGAGGACGTGGTGAGCTTTTAAAACAATGGTTATATATAACCGAGACCACGTCGTTTGCTCGAAATATTTTCCAGCTGAAGAAAGTGCAGCCGGGCGAGGGTAATTGCGCGTGCGACGCGGACGCGTGGCTACAGGTAATTACACCCTTCCCCCATACATATACGGAGGTCATCGAGTTGTGGACGAAAAAAATCTCCTCAGTCGCTGACGCTGCCCGAGCTGGCTGAGCTGCACGACAGGGTTTGTCTGTTGACTTCGAAGCAAAAGAAAGCCACCAATGGTCGGGGAAATGCCACGGAGCGGCTGTTGGACGCGCGTATAGCTACTCTACAGCGGCAAATTGGTGAAAAGAAGCGAGAGGCTGTGGTCAGGGCCAACGAGATGCAACGGGCCTTGCTTGCCGAGCAGGTTCGGCTGATCGGGGTACCGGACGATTTGACCTCGAGGCGCAGGTAAACCGGTGACGGTAAAATGGTGTTTAAAATATGTATGGAGTTTTCGCGTGAGCTTCCCAAGTGACGTGGATTAACAGTTGGCGTATTTTTGGTACGCTCCGAGTGACGTTACGTATGTGTCTGCCCCGAATTCTATTTTGGAACAGTGTGTACCGCGAAGCGCGATCTAATAATTCAGAGCTCCGTTCAATGGTCAATGCAAGCATTTCCGCTTTCGATTTAGTAATGCTACCGGCGATCTAAAATAAAAATTTGAATATTTTATTTGAATCTAGTTTCCGTACATGGCCTAAATGGATTTCCAAACGCGTTGAGGATTTAAAATATTCGTTGCCATCCTCTAGTTTTGTGGCGTTAAATATAGTTCCCACCTTCGATCCACAAATACTAATGCGGTAGTTTATTTGATTTTTTTGTATTTTATTAAAATTAGATTTCCCTTTCGTGCGCATACATTTACCATCTGGAAAAATCAATTTCCGTATCAAAAGCGTCCTTCCACCGCCTTTTCCGCCGTTCGTCTTTTCTATTTTTTCGGATTCACGTACAATTCGGGTCAAAGGAGGCTTTTTTCGTATCCGCAGTGTCAACGCCGGCGTATTGCCGATGGACGAGAGCACTAGCTGCCACTGCGGACAGGAGGAGTGCACGAGGACCGGCCACGAGGCTTCCAAGCCGTCGGCCGTCTGGTGTCGGAAATGAGGTCATCCCTTTTTTTATCCGAAGAATAGCGAATACCCTCTTTTGATCGTCTATGTTTTTGTTCTCCTTTTTTTCATTGGAAGAGCTCTTTTTAGTGACTCCTTGGTGTCCGACGGTCGGGTGAAATTCCACGAGCTCTGTCTTTCTTTTCTTTCTTTTTTTTTTCATTCGAGAAACGAGTGCACGCGGATTTATGCAAATTTGATTTTGGATTTTCACTGGTTTCAAGCGAGTTTTGCCGAGAGACCTCTGGAACTTTTAACAATCAAACTTACCTGAATCATCGAACTTGGCGCGAGTTTCCCCCCCCCCTTTTTTTTTATCGCTTTCTCCATGTGGCTTAAAAGTTTTCGAGAGAAACAATCGCTCCGAAGCTCGAACGATTTTCCGGCTTGAGCGCCCGTTCCTTTGCCGAGTACCCTCGTATAATGTACTGCTTTCTGACGCAAGACGAAAAAATTGCTTGTATAAACTGGACTCTGTTGAAATAAAAAACTCACCATACTTTCAGTCATTTAACTCGTCATCATTTAATTATTTGTTATGATCCCAAACAAAAGAATAACGTGATGTATCCATTATTATGTATATAAAAATTAAAAATCTTAACAAGAATCGTGCAATTGTTTTAAAACATGCCAACGAATACTTATAGCCTAGAAATGAAAAATGTTTTTTACCCCCACCTCGTAAAGGCTACTTCGAAAAAACAGGAGCCCCAATCCTCGATGAGGCCATCAACAGCCCATTCGCAATTCAACGTTACCAAGCGATGGAAAAAAACCGAAAGGAGGAAGGTCGAGAGAGAAGGAAAAAAGGCCGTGATTGAGCCCAAGAGTCGGGCGATAGCAAACGTCCTCTCGGAGCCGCATAAATCACAATTAAATAAATGCGTGCGTCGACGTAGTCTTCGGAAGCGGGTAGAATGGAAAAAAAAAAGAACAATTTTCTCGGCGACAGTGGCAGGCTCGGGGTAGACCGATGGTCGACAAATGAGCCGGGGGCCTGGCAAACCGAGTAATTGGATTGCGTGCGCTAAGCAAGCAAAGGCCGATGATACCTATACATATATACGTACACCTCGGAGGGTTGAACAAATCAACGCGAGCGTGAACGGAGGAAGGGCGTCGGATGTTTTTTTTTGCGTGTCGTCTTGAAAGTTTTGCGAGTACACACGGCTACGCCACAAGGGGGGGGGGGAAAGCAAACGAAACATTTGTACACTCGAGAAGGAACGAGGGTACGCGTCGATTTAATATTATTTCAATTAAACTTGTCACGGGAGGCGTTGATTCGTCCAACTTAGCTGTTTTTTTTTTTTTTAATCGAAATTTATAGAGGCGTAAAAAGCAACTCCTTGTACGTAATCGATGCTCTGTATAGATTTAACGGCTCAAAAAGCATCTCTATAGAGCCATTGCCTTCTCCTGTACTCACAATGAACAAGCGGCAGACGAAGGACTGCAGTACGCATACCAGTGTGTGTGCCACATACCCAATGAAAGTTACTTTGAGCTCGTACACACAGAGTTGCACAAACGATACATGCAGATAGCGGGGAGAAACTGCAGCTGTATAGTTGTGGCCGTATAGCAGCAGTGGTATTATAATGAAAACAGGTCACGGGTATACTACACCCACGGTATAATATACGCGAGTTTGAGGGGAGGCGCGCTTTTGCCGGGGCCAAACTGGGCGAATGCCAATGTTAACCGCGACCATACCTGTGTGCACCGCCTCCCCGTCTCGGCACGAAGGAATTTCCTGGGCCTCCGGCCGTTGACATCGTATTGAAAAATAATTGTGGCCACCCCGGTCATGCCAGCCCATACCGATGGAATTTCACAATTAAAACTCGAGGCTCCTTTTGCCTTTCGCCCGAGCGGATGATCGACCTCTTCCGCGGAGTTGCCTTTTGTTTTCTTAATTGCGAAATTCCTTGGATCCTTAAACATCCGTGGGACCTCGAGCACCGAGGACTAGCTTTCTCATTAGTATTTATATACACGTGGGGGGTTGGGGGTGCTCGTATGATCTTTGCATTCCTTTTCGCCGTCGGTTTGGCTCGTTCGGCAAATGAAAATTGAAAGCACCGGGTGCCCATTGTGCCCGATATTGCTCGCTTCGTTTTTCGAGGCGCGTCTTGTTTCCCGCGCACAATCTCGGCCCCTCTTCCTTTCATTCGAGCAGCGAAACTCTCGTGCACACGCGAGCGCGTACACGCGTGCACGAGGACTGAAATTGTCGCGCACCAGGTGCACGGGGGCTTTGTGCCCTCGAGGGGGGCTGGAAAGCAATGGGAAATAATTAAGGCGCTGCCGCGTTAATTAACGCGAGCGCATGCGTTTGCTCCTTTCGTGCCTTCTTTTGCCCCATAAACGCCCACGCGTATAAAGTCAAAGAAACCCGTAGACGGACTGTTTTTTTTTTCTTTTCTCTCTTCATATTGTGGCATGCGCTCGCCCTAGATTGAACTGTAAATAACCCGCGTTTTGAATTAGAGACATGTAGGTTTACGCGTGCGACGATATTTTTGCAATCACCGGTCTTTTGGGCGAAAATCACGTTGGTATTGCCTCTTACGAGTGAGGAGGGTAGGAAAATAGCGAAACAATCGTGCAATTATCGCGCCATCAAAGTTTCGGGGGACGGAGAGAAAGTAACAAAGGGGGCGTCGTGGATTCGCGAAAGCTCGAAACAATTTCTCGGAAGGGGAATCCAGTTGGACGGAAAAACGTAATAAGCTTCTCGTTGACGAAAACTAATTATTCCACGAAGGAATAATCCATACGCAAACACAACGGCCAGCCGGAGAAACGCGCTCACCGTAATCCACGAAATCTCCATGGCTGGCGAGCAGTTTCGCGTGGTTTATTTTTTCCGACCACCTGTTTTATTCCGCGGTCGTTTGCTCGCTCGCTGGCATATACATTTCAGTTTTTTTTTTTTTTTTTTTTTTTTTTTTTTTTTTTTTTTTTCCTTCCCTCATGCAACCAGCAGCAGCTTGACGGTGGGTTTCTGCAAAAAGAAAGAAAGAAGCGCGTGCCTCAATGTCTCGCAGACGGCGCGTGAAGAGCGGGGGGAGGGAGAAAAATAGAAGCTTCATCTCTGGGATTGTGGGGTAACGAAGGGGCGCGCAGCTGCAGCGGCGACACAATGGCACAGAAGAGGAGAGGGGGGGGGCTTTATTTACGAGAGAAGCGTCGAGCTCGGCTGACGACCGGTTGTGCTGGGAAACGGCACGAAAAGAAGAAAAAGGTGGGACGGAAAAAAAAGGCCGACGAGTGTTGACGTGCGTGCGTATAGTGCGGGACCGAGCTCTTTCTCCGATGACGCCTGGTTTTCTGCGTCCAAGCTTATGGAGACTGTACTCGTGTTTGTCGAAATAAATAAACAAGCGTACAATAATAACATGTAACAATTTTAAAACAAATAATCTTTTTTTTTTTTTTTTAAAACCAATGTAAAAAAAAAAAAAAAAGGGAATCATGCGCTGTAAGTAGAACAAGCCGGCGTACGGTAAGACAGGCGCATAAGCCGCATCCATTTTCCGAGCGGTTGAGTGGATCTCTTTCCTCGCTCGAACGGATGTAGAGAGGGAGGGAGGGAGAAAACGGAATTTATTTTCTCCAAGTTCCCGAAAAGCGTACACCATTCCGTCACGAGAGCACGTACAAAAACTTGGCAGCGGCATACAAGACCCGAGCCGTGGTGCAAAAATTTAATATCGCGCGCGGAACTTATCCTCCCCGAAACTCCGGGGCTCGGCAACAAATCGCATTAAAAGCCGAACTTCCTCCGGCTGCCCGACTGTCTCTATTTTTCAGCTCCGAAAAATTTAAAACGCCTCCACCTCCTCACCCCCCCTTTGCGCCAAATACATAAGTATTATCGTCAACGTTTATGAAAACTAGTGCGAGCTTTCAGGAGTTGCAGCTGAAGATTACTCGAGTAATTGCACACTCGAAAAACCCGCGCTCGTGCACCGTAGAGAGGGATCATCTCTGTCGTGCTTCTTTCCCGAGCACTAACGCAAAATCTTGAAAACTTTTTCCCCCCCCGGTTCGCCCCCCCCCTCCAACTCTAGCGAATCCGTAACTTTCGCCACATTATGCTCTCGAAATAGTAATCATCTTCTCGGAAATTTCGCTCCGATTCGTCTTGCCTTTTTCCGCGCTCATCGGTGGATGTATATAATTTGAAACGTTTCCTCGGCACCGGTATACGGGTTTTACTATTTTATTTCCAAATTGTCGCGAGTAAACTCCACCCGAGTACAAATAACTTGGCGAACGAGCCATCGGATTAATGCATCAAAAGAGGCAGCGCCGCGAAAGAGTTGGCAAAAAAAACAAAAAAAACAAAAAAAAAAAAAAAACAATCCAGTAGGACTAGAGACAAAAAACACGCGCCCCAGGAGAGTAGGAGAGCGCTATGGCGAGGGGCTAGCTCGTTCAGACTCTGTCTGGGCTCCGAGCGAGAGGGGAACGGAGGAGGGAAAAAAAGAGAAAAAAAGGCGAGATTTGAGCTCTCTTCGCTTGTCCCTGTGTACACCACACGCGGCACGCACACACACACCGCATCATCCTTTTGGCACTAGAGTTCGTTCACGCGAGCGCAAGGCGCGAGGAAGAGAGAGAGAGAGAGAGCGCATCCACCCCTGACTCGGAGTAGGGGAGGAAACGAGGCAACCCATACGCGCTCGTGTACCCGAGAGAGCGAGATAGCCCACGTACCTGAAATATAGTCGCGGGATGTGTATATATAGCACAGCAGGGGGCCTGCGAGAGGGATGAATAGCGGTCGGGAAAATGCCTTAAACGGAGCCAACGGGGGCAGCGGTGGTCGTTGTAGCGGCGGAGAAGGGGGTAGCGCCGACTCCGGACGAGGGTGGCCGAACCCCTCCGAGCCGGGGCAAAGTTGAGCTCCGGAGTGTCAGTTGTGCTGCCGCGACGCAGCCGTGCGACCGGCCGAGCTATTGGCCAGCGCTGTCGCCGCTCTATCCTGTTTCTCATTGCTATACACCGTGGATCGGGATTTCGGTTAAGTGGAAGAGGTCCGCGTTGCGTCGGACGAGACTGTTCCGTGTGCTTTTTCCCAATTTTTTTTTTTTTTTTTTTTCTCTCTCTCTCTCTCTCTCAGATAGGCACAACATTTGCTGGAGCTCTGGATCGCCAGGAGATCGATGAAAAAGGGTCACTGGCCGAGGAGTATACTACCGTATTTTTACAATCATTTGTGTGAAAATTTGTTATTCCACCTCGTGATTTCAAATAATTGACATTTCCGAAGAAAAAAAAGGCAACTGGGTCGTCTTATCGCGAAGGATCTGCCCACTCGTGGAGAGAAGGGTTTTGCAAACGTCGGCAGTTACCGCGAAATCGCGCCCCTAGGCTACATTGAACGTAGTTACGTGGATAGCTGACAAAGACAAACGCTGATCTTCGTCGGCCCGGGGTATGTATAAAAACTCAGGGCGGTAATTGAGACGCGGAACGAGCCAGCGATCCTCCCGGGAGACTATTAAATTCACCGTCGCATAACCGTATCGACGGAAAAGTCAAATCGACTCCTCGGCTAATCTCCCCAGAGTTGATAACTCCCCGCGTGCACGCAGGGGGATGAAAATAGGGTGGGGGGGTGGCCCGATCTTACCGGCTAATAGAAAATCATTTCACGCTCACATGAAGCTCGCTTCTCTCACTGCCATGCCTGCGTGCGTAAGGGTTTTAGTCGTAACGAGCCCGCCAATGATCCACGCGTGGAGAGAGGAGGAGTCGTCGTGCGTGACAATGACCGGCGTGAGGAGGAAAAGCTCCTCGTCTTAGTGCACACCTACTGTCGCTGTCCCTCGAGTTGTGATGACTACTGAGATAATAAGTGCTGGTGCTTTCGGTTGTGGTAACAGTGCTCGAAGACTACGCCGTGCCGGTCCCAGGATGACGGTGGTGCTGGTGATGCTGTTGACGGGCGCGCTCGTCCAACTGGCCGACTCAGAGGTCGTGGCCGGTACGCGGAAGGCCCAGAGTGCCGGTGAGTATTGCAAGAAATGGTGGGAGTGTTAGGGTGATCCACCACCGATTTCGCGCTTCGATGCACCGTAGTGGAGCGCTGCTCACCCCTACCCGACCCAAGGCTAATTTTTGGCTGCGATGGATGCTATACGGTAGTCGTGTCCCTGCCTCCCCCCGCCCTTTTGTTCGACATCACGAGCTATCTGCAGCCTCTGGAGTCGGGTCGTTCCCTCGTTTGCCTTGTAATTTGAATCGCTCGATCGGAGCAGTTTCCTTTTTTTTTTTTTTCTTGTCCAATTTTAAAACGAGTTTTCACTCGCTCCACTGCTCTAATAGCAGGCTGGGGATGTACGTAGATAGTAGGACGTCGACTTGGCGAGTCTATCGATCCCCTTCTCTGGGGCTGGAATTTATTCTCGTACAACACACACCGCTACTCTAATTGTTTTTGATTCAAATGCATATCCGTTTGGTGATTAATAATCGGATTTGGTATGGCGGGGAAAGCGATTTTTCAGTAATCCCCCCCCCAATTAACTTTTGATGAATGAGGTATTGTTGGGATCCCTATACGGTTATTCCGAGCTCGTTAATGCCGAAGGAGAACGCACGTAAGGGGGGGATCATTGGTGATTTATCCGATGCGCGGCTAAGAGCATTTAATTTTTACCCGTAGGAAGACGTGTAATGACTCACTGATTGAAAAATCTCGATTTAATGTCAAGGAATTTCGTACATTTACTCATATATTTTGTTTAATGAGATGTTGTGTTTCACTTGAAAAAAAAAAAAAAAAAGAAAAGAAAATATTCAGATTCTCATGCAAAACCAAACGGAGCGCAGCTATAAAAAACGCGTACATTTGTTATTATTGTCGGCTCGAAAAAAGTTTTACCCACGTGATTTATTATTATTATTATTATTATTATTATTGTCATCATCAACGTATCCAGCACAGAGTCGTAAATATATACATAGGATGAAATAAAAGCTCAAACAATGGGTGCAACAATAATGATAAAGTAAGCAAAACAACGGTGGTATTTCTTTTGTTTTCCTTTCGACGGAGCATTGTTTTCTGTCCATAAAAGTACAGCGTATTATAACGTAGAGGAAAATGAGACGTAGCATTAATAGCTGTTGCTTCCGACGCGACACATTTAGGCCCCGGTATCACGGGTGTATACATGGGCATTCAACAACGCCAGACTTTGTACTTTTTCAAAAGCATTCATTGTTTGCGCTGGAATATTTTTTTGTGTTTTTTTTTTTCGTCATAAACTCTCACAATGGAGCATTTGACCACTTTCAGCAATAGTTGCATCACAAATTATTCATAAAAAACTTTGTTCAATAAATGTGTACAAATTTCATTGCAAATCATTCGAATTTAATTGTCAGCAATGATAATGCATACTCGCAATCTATTACACTCCCCGGCCCATGGCCATGTTTAGCATCGCGTAAAACTCGTCACAGAGGCGCAATTTCGCGGAAATACCCGAAAACGAAGCGGAAGCAGGATCGGCAAGTATGGCACATTTTCCGCTACTCGAGAAAGCGGCAACAGTATTGGCCACTCATGGCTCAAGTTTTAGCGCACTCACGTAAACTAGCTGTACCCGATGCTCTCGGCAAACAGCAATTTACGTCGGTACACATAAAATTTCTTCCCCCAAGAGTAGCGCGTACCGGAATCAACTGGGGATCAAGGAGTGTTTTTACCACGAGCAAGGCGATGGATTGCAACGTGCGGTGTGTGTATATATATATACGTATATGCCAACGAGTAACCGATGGAAATTAAATAGTCACGTAGAAGCGTTGGAACTTGGGACAGTCTTGGCAGGTGTAGCGTACTCATACTCCGATGCGTAAGCTCGGAAATCCTTTGCAAATTTTTTTTTGTTCTCTCAAAACTTCACCAACCCACGATTTTAGGGTAAATCTGAAATTTTGTATGAAAAACAGGAAAAAAAAAAAAAAACTATTGATTTACCAAACGTATCCCGAGCCTACGCGCAATTAACGTCCAGCTCTTGAAAGGCTTTCTTTTTGCGGATTATCCACAGACTCTGTGTGAGCACACACTGCATTGCTGGTGAAGCCAAAGAGAGTTTGCGTACCCGCAGACTGTATGTGTACGCGTCGACGGCTAAATTGACCGGAACGCGAAAAAGCACGTGTAGGTACTTGGGTACTTGAACCACCGCGGTTTGTGTGCGTATATGCGGGAGAACCGCAGGGATGAGTGGGAATTCCAATGTAAATATAATTAGGCGGGGCGAGCGAGTGGCAGGGGGTGGGAAAAGGCGCGTCGAGGTATGAAAGGAGCCTAGTTTGATCGCTCGGGCGTTAAAAGTCATTGAGAGAGCCGCGTTGATTCCCATCGTATGGCTATACCGAGGTGGGCTGAACTGTAGGTGAAAAGACCATTGGCAACGTAGAACGCGCCTACGTTTCGCTTGCGAGGAATGGAATGGAGGGAGGACTAATCGTTGCGGGAAAAAATTCTGATTCAATTGACTCTGTGGGTGAGCCCCTTTTTCTCATTCTGGGATGCTAACAAAGCTCCTTCACTCCGTTGGGGGTGGAAAAAAAATTGTATGCGATCTAAATTTTTTTTTTCATCCTGTACACATCGCTAGGGGCAATCAAAATGTTAAACCTTTGCTCGGGATCAAAAAAGAAAATCATATTTTTCTCCTAGCTCATTCTTATATTTTTTTAATTTTTCTTTTCGTTGAAACGTGAAAGCTTTGCTTTGATGATTTTTGTGAAAAAACAACTTTTTATTTTTCGTTTCACCTGCCTGGCATACAAACGTTCTCATTGCGATTTTTTCAAAAGTAAATACTTCTCGACCCGTCGAAGCATAAACAGTTTTTAAAAATTTTTCCCGCGAAAGACCGAATTTCTCGGAACGTAAATATTAAAAAAAAACAACATTTTTATGATGCAAAACAGTTAAAAACAAAAATGATAAAAATTTTTACTTGAAAATATTGAAGAGCCAGTTTCATTTACCGCTTCTTCGAAATTACACTAATAACGAACGCAGCTCTCGTTTCCAACAACCGGCTGTAAAAAGTATATTCACAACGGCTCGGGAATATCAAATTAACAGCCTGGACTGAGCGAAAAAAATAAATAAATAAATAAAAATAAAAAATAGAATCTCGCTCGAATGGTCGGAACGAAAAATAACACGAAACGCCGTGTCGTACGAGTATAGCCAGGGATCGAAAAAATTTGGCTCGGCTCACCGTGGCAGGGAGAGAGGGGGCGTGAAATTTCGCGGATGCCGATAGTCCCGCATCCGCGTTGCTCTGGAAACTCTTGTCGAGCGGAAACCGGTGCGTATACGCAAATCAACGATCAATTTTTCACCATCGATCCCTTCTCGCACAACTTAAAAGTTGTCAAGTATCACGCAGCTCCCAATACCTGACGGATATCCGAGCAAACCGAGCGCAAAGTTCCGAATACGCGCGTAAAGTGATGTCGACAAAGAGGGTGTGGAGCAAATCCATCGTGTACACTCGATGTTCTCCTCTAGGCTGTCTCTATCTACCTCATTATAAGACTACTATCCACCGCGAGTTCTTCCACGTACATGGTACTCCTTCTTCCCTATGCTCTGCTCCTGCCCCAGTCGCAGCTAATGTCCGTTGTTTTTGGTAGCTACAATCATTACAATACTATACATATTGAATTGCTATACATTACAATTACTATACATATTGAATTGCTAATCTGCGTGTCCTGTATAGCTCGAGATGAAGATTATCGTAAACTCTATACATTTTGTACTAAAACTTGAAAAATCACTTCCGTGATACATTAATAACTCTTTGCTACTGCAATCGGGAGAAGTACAAGGGAGAATTTTTTTTTATCTCCATTACGGGGAGTCTGGTGGATTATCAAAAAATATGAAACCCGGAGATTTTTTTCTTTCGTGTATAAACAAATAAGAGACGAAAAAAGATAGACTCGTTGGCGTTAATCAAGAAAATTTAATATTCTCTGTCTCCATCACTTGTAGTTCATAAGAAAAATAAAAAAAAAATGTGTGTATAATATTTTTTGATAATATACCTGACGGGTCGAATGAATTTTTTTGGTATTCTTTCCTATCGTCATCCCTTACAGGTACGCGTTCGGTATGAAACGCTGACATTATTTTTGCATCTGTCCATCTCGTTGAAGGAAAAATACAACAAATAACAATCGCACCAACAGTAACGCTGAACATTGGGGAGGAAAAAAGGATGCAGCTACATAAGCTCGAAATCAATCGATCCACCCGCACACATACACGAGCGAGCTGATTTTAAACTTCGGCAGTCAACATCTGTCGCTATTGTACCCATAATATACGTACCTACCCTCGTTACTATTGTACGATGTTTAGTGTAGGTGAAATAATACGAACCTACGTTTAAACTTGTAAATAGCACGTTTCGAATATTCAGATTGAACAAACGAAAATTGACAAGCGCCGATCCATTGGCTCAGTAAATTCAATACTACTGCGTGCACTAGGTAGTTTTTCTCGTATAAGTATAGTAAACACACGTTTCTTCTCTCGTGGTAGGAAAAATAGGGGCTGTGCCCTAGAGTGTACGTAAAAAAGAAATGATGGCGGTAGCATGGGATAGGTGCTGATTTTTCTCAAATACGCGTCTTTTTGACTAATAGAGTATAAATATTGAACGGAAGAGCTTTTCTAACTTGTTGGATTCTAGAATAAAAAAAAGCTCTAAAGAGTGATTGTTTTTAAGGAAAATCGCGTCAGTTACTTAAGAAGCATATTTTCTTCGGTCAGTAACAAGGCAGGGCAGCTTAGTGAAAAATCTTGACAAAAAGTAATACTTGGTGGTAAAACGGTATCGTTTTTTTTCCAAGTTGTTGAAAAATCAGGTTTCTGGGGCAACCATGATTCTCCCGATTTATCACGTGCTACAACGAACTGCGTAAGGTTTATTTTAAAGACCCCACGAACAATTTCAATAT